GATTAACCTCTGATTTTGAAGCAGTGCACGTGAAAAGGGATCCTAATGTATTCCAAACTATCACATCTCTTCCCCGTGATTCCATTATGTCTTTTCTTCTTTTCACACAGTCTGTCTTCTTTCTAAGCTCCCTCCTCTTCCACTTTTGTCCAGTTCCAGACTCCGAATTATGGGGTTGTGTCTATGGGGAACTCTCATGTTTCTCTCTCTCTTCGTGAAGCATCTGACCAGCCAAGATCCCAACACCGACGCCTTTTATCTCTCTAACTTCTTCACCAAAATGGGTTTACCAAATTATACTCAAGCTCACACATTTCCTTCTTCATCTTTATGTTCATGGCCAGGAGTGGTCTGTGACTCACGGAGAGAGTACGTGCTCCGGCTTTCGGCTTCTGGGTCGGACCTGTCCGGTTCCATCCCCGACAATACCATCGGCAAAATGAGAATGCTCCGATCATTGGATCTCAGTGACAACAAGATCACTTCTCTGCCCTCGGATTTGTGGAGTTTGAGCTCGCTCAAGAGTCTCAACCTCTCCTCCAACCGGATTTCAGAGCCTCTTCCAAGCAACATAGGCAATTTCATGTCGCTTCAGACACTTGATCTTTCTTTTAACAGCTTCTCTGGTGAAATCCCTGCTGCTATAAGCTCCCTTGTCGGTCTAACAACTCTCAAGCTTGACAACAATGGTTTTCAGTTTGGCGTCCCTCCAGGTCTTCTCCATTGCCGATCTCTAGTCTCCATTGACCTCTCATCGAACCAGCTCAGTGGTTCTCTGCCTGTTGGTTTTGGTTCTGCCTTCCCTCAACTAAAAAGCTTGAACCTTTCACGGAATCTGATTCAGGGTTCATTGATGGGAGTCTTGCATGAAAACGTGGAAACTCTTGATCTCAGTGAAAACCGATTTGATGGGCATATCTTGCAGTTAATGCCTGGCCACAAACACAACTTGTCTAGTCTGATTCATCTTGACTTGTCCGAGAATCGTTTTGTCGGACATATACTCGATGGCTTGAGTTCATCTCAGAAGCTGGTACACCTTAACCTCGCGTGCAACCGATTCAGGGCACGAGAATTCCCGCAAATCACAAAGCTTTCAGGTTTAAATTATCTGAATCTATCCAGGACCAATCTGTCAGGTAAAATTCCAACTGAAATCTCACGGCTGCGTCATCTCAAGGTTCTTGATCTCTCCTCCAATAATCTCACTGGCCATGTACCTTTGTTGAGCCTCAAGACCATTGAAACACTTGATCTCTCGCTGAATAAGCTAGAGGGAGATATTCCAAGGCCGGTTCTCGACAAACTCCCCATGATACAGAGGTTCAATTTCTCTTTCAACAATCTAACCTTTTGCAACCCCAACATCTCTCAAGAAATGATCCAGACATCCTTCATTGGCTCCACAAACAACTGTCCCTTCGCTGCAAAGCCAATAGTTCTAAATGGAAAGAAATTCAACAAGCACAAGACAGGGCTTAAGATTGGTTTGGCTTTAGCAATCACCATGGCGTTCTTACTCGTTGGGCTGTTGCTCATACTTGTAGCCATGAGAAGTAGAAGAAAATCCAGAACATGGGCAACAAAGCAAGCCACAGAACCAAACTTGTCAGACCAAAGTGAATCAACCGATGTCCCTGTGGTAATGATCGACAAGCCGTTGATGAAGATGACGTTTGCAGACCTCAAAGCTGCGACTCTCAACTTCGATAGAGCCACACTGTTGTGGGAAGGCAAGTCTGGTCCTACTTACGGTGCAGTCTTACCCGGTGGCTTTAGAGCAGCTCTAAAAGTCATCCCAAGTGGAACCACACTGAATGATCACGAAGCCTCGATCGCGTTTGAACGTCTCGCTCGGATCAAGCACCCAAATCTTGTTCCTCTCTATGGATACTGCATAGCCGCGGAACAAAGAATTGCGATTTACGAGCACATAGACAATGCTAATTTGGAAAGCTTACTCCATAACACAGACGATTCCGACACATCTTGGAGATTCCGGCATAAGATAGCTCTGGGCACGGCGAGAGGTTTGGCTTTCCTCCATCATGGTTGCATTCCTCCGGTGGTTCACGGCGAGGTAATGGCTAGAACCGTGTGCTTAGACTCAACACAGGAACCACAATTAGCAGACTTTGGTTTAACAAAACTCCTGGACGAGAGATTCTCCGGTGGTTTAGACGGGTACACACCACCGGAACAGGAGCAGTACGGTTCTCCGACAGTGGAATCCGATGTGTACAGCTTTGGAGTTGTTCTGCTCGAGCTCGTGAGCGGGAAGAAGCCGGAAGGGGATTTGGTGAATTGGGTGAGAGGGTTGGTGAGACAGGGACAAGGATCGAGAGCCATTGATCCGAAAATGCGAGAGACAGGTCCGGTGGAGCAGATTACGGAGGCGGTGAAGATAGGTTACTTGTGCACCGCCGATCTGCCATGGAAGCGACCCACGATGCAGCAAGTGGTCGGACTTCTCAAAGACCTTTCTCCCATCAGTTGTTAATGGGCCAATCACACTTAACTATATTAACATGGTCATTATTAAGCTTTGTATGTTTATTGTTTATTTCGAGATTTAGAAGTAATGGAAAATCTGCGTAAATGCTCTAATAACATAAAAGAACCGTTTATGTTTTGCTTTATTGGAGAAGAAGAGTTTTGCATTAAAATAGAGATTTTTAAAAAGGCAGGCAGGAGAAGAAAGGAAGAGTGGTTGTTTTTAGAAGAGATCAATGTCGATGTCCATAGAATTCACAAGCACACCATCATCTTCCCATTTGATATCTTTGGCATTCGGATCTTTCTCGATTATGCGCAACGGTGCATCCAATGGTGGAGGGCTCTGCAATCACTTTACATATATTAGCCAACAAAACACGAGTGTGTGACACGAACTGATACATATAAAAGGGTGATTTTATTAGTCCTACCATGCAGCGTATGAGAGGCCAATTGATCCCGCGGAAGAAAGCGTGCTGCTTTATCTCATTCGCCCCACCTTTGGATCCTAACCGGCTGCTCGGATCTCTATTCAACAATGTATTGATCAACTGTCTACCTACAAGACTTACCTGCACAACAACCACATGGTTAAATTTGTTTTGTTTTTACTTTGTGTGTATTGCAAGACACAAAGGTTGTTACAAGATAGATAGCTTACAGGGATACTGCTGGGGAAGGTGAGATCTTTGTGCAAGATGTTGGCAAATGTCTTTTGCCTATTCTTACCCCTGAAAGGCGTGCGACCGTAAAGCATCTCATACAACAAGATTCCTTAAAACAAACATACATAAAAGAAGATCAGCATATTGATATTGATTGTGACATATTTAGGTAAGATGGTGGAATATAGATTATACCCAGTGCCCACCAATCAATAGCACTCGTATGACCAGCACCCGTAATTATCTCCTGAAACAATTAAGTGAATGATACCATAAAGATGAGGCTGTAAAATTATCCTCCAAATCAATGGCAGGCAGTGAAGGTTATAAGAAATAAACATCACTAAACATTAAGTGTATCACCGTACAGGCGCAATGTATTCTTCGGTCCCTACGAATGAGTTTGACTGGGTAACTGGTTCTGCAACAAATGTGGGTAACGGTTGAGTCTTGGATCTTCTTCGTTTGTGTGGAGCAGGTGGAATAATAAGCTGCACGCCAAAATTCTCCTAATTATCACATTTCTTCATATTGCCAGTTAAAAAGTAGAGTTGAATTGAAACAATACCTGGGGTGTGCAGGATGTCATGAATGATAAATCAAAGTCAGCTAATACAATGTGTCCATCCTTCTTGAGCAGTATATTTTCAGGCTTCAGGTCACGGTACACTATCCCTATTTATCGAACATATATACAAGTCTTAAATGAAACAACAGAAGAAATTATTTAAGCCATGTGAGGTGGCTAAATGTGTAAACAGATATATTAAGATCAACAGAGACAAGAATTCACTCCGCCATTTATTACCTAAGCAGTGAAGATATTCTAAGCCGATAACGACCTCTGCCGCGTAGAACCTGATGATATAGAGATTGATTAAAGTAACTCATAAGGGCATAGTGCATCCATTTAGTTAATACATCACATTGATATTTGTTTGTAACCAATGGATCTTGTGTTACATATTATACATCTGGACTGGAGGAAAACAGGGTACCTTGCTGAGTCCTCTGACAATATTTTCATGGGTTGTCTATCAAGCAGTGCAAACAACTCTCCACCGGGGCAGAAGTCCGTAATCAAACAAACATGCGTAGATGTCTGAGCAAAGAAAAGAACGCTTTAGAAATCATACGCAAGAACTGAAAAGATACAAATAAAAAAGGAAAAACTTATACCTGAAAGGAAGCGTAGAGAGTGGGAAGGAAAGGATGATCCAGAAGGGAAATAATTTCCCTTTCGATGCATGCTCGGTGAGCCTGTATAACGCTGCGTTGTCAATGAGAGATATAATATAAATTTCAATTTTCGGGCTTTCCCTTTCAAAAGGGAATTCATTCTCCATCATATACCTTGTTACGATTCAACATCATTGTTTTCTCCATTGCCTTCATTGCATACAACTCACCTGTGCCTTTCAGTTCAACCAAATGGACACTTTGTAGCCAACCAAAAAAAAAAAACAAGAGTAAATCATATAAGCATATACTAAGTAAAAGGAGATTCAAGGACAGTTTTGACTTCAAGTATACTGTTATGGACACAATGAAATGTGGTACCTGCCAGTATCACCAGAGCCCAAAGGTTTTATTGGCTTGAAATGATGTAGTCCCACTCTTTCTCCACTCGCTTGGATCTACAAAGGAAACTATCGCAATCAAAACAGGATGACTGATAAACAAAGTAAAAAGTAATGTGGATTGATGCATGCCTTTTGTATTGCTTTCCAGGACGTACTCTCCATACTGTGAGGCAGAGGATAGACAGGCTTTGAGTGTGCAGCCCACAGGTCTTCGGGCCGCTAAAATACGCAAATCGATTGCATTCATATTTTTACATCTTTGATAAGTAACCATGAATTTATATACCTTACCGTATTAGCATCTGGAAGTTCTCTGACAGCTTCATCTACATTTGTTGCTGTAGCTTTCACCTGAATTATAATTAATGTGTTAGTCTCCTCTAAATGAAAAGAGACTCTATTAAAGCACAATAGGAGATTAACCACGTACCAATTTAGAACTCTGCATCTCCGTTCTCTCAGACAAACGATTTCGGAGGGGCTCCACATGATCACTTCCATCAAGTTGCACACCGATGAAGTATTGAAGCTCTCCCTGATGATGAAAAAAGTCATGTAGTCAGCAACAATGCACAGTTTTCTTCAAGGATCTAAATCCAGATATAACCATATTGGCATGGCGACCTTCTGATCACGCATAGGTTGCAAATGGAATAAGTTCCAGAACTTCTTTCCTGCAATGATTTCGAGGTTTGATGATCGTCCCGAATTGAAAACATTTCAAGATAATTGTTTGAAAATGTTCATTATCAGATAACTACCGCTCTTAGTGTAGTTTATCAACTGCACAGTTATCTCCCTTTGATCTTTAATTGCGTCTCTTATCTTCTGGACAGTCGCTTGATCTGTCTCTGGCCCCTGAAGAAACCTGAGGCCAACCACTTTACACAGATTCATATCACAAAACTAACAAAAACACAGCCAAGAAGACTGCATAATTATGATGAGTCTCATGAGTAAAATATACAAGGAAAAGAATATTCACATACCGACAATTTCTCCCCAAAATTTCCTCGCGTGAATACTCTGTCAGTTCAAGAAAGCTGTCTGATGCAAAGATCTGCAAAGGAAACGATTTGCATTATCATTTCAAGATAATAAACTTACCACATGTCCATACCAAACAGAGCAGCAGACTTGAGTAAAGAAAAATTAATATAAGCAACATACTTTCCAATTGAACATGCATTTCAATTTTTAGACTGAAATGAACATACAATGGGATTATCAGGAAGACGAGGATCACTGATGACGAAGTTCTTCTCAATGCGCTCAAGAGTGGTAGCTAGATCAATTCCTTGGCGTATATCCCTTTCTCTTTCTAATCGGTCCCAACTGTCCCTCGGCTCTATTACTTCTGTGCTCAACATCAATTCTTCAGGTTCCACACTAGGTACATCTTCATGCTTTTTGTTCGAGCTTAGCGATTTGTGCTTTGACCTGCACATTGCATGAGGATTGATCACAAATCATTGAGGGTATATACGTACATCTTCAGAATTAACTACCCAATCCATGTCAGAGGATACATACTAAGGCCCAGCACAAGGTTTCAAAAGTATACAAGAACTAAGAAACAGAACACGGTAGGAAATTGCAGCAATTTCAACTTCCTATTAAATATTTATATTTGACTAAAAATCCATGAGTTCATTCTTTCAATTAAATTAAAAAGTGAGGTTACACAACGACAATAAGTACATCTAACTCTATTCCTTGTTCCTTGAAGAATTGAGATTGTGTTGGTATATTTGGGAATGATAATAAACAAGATGTTTTCTGCAATTTGGCCATTCCATCACACATTATTGAGCAAGACACATGCCATTAAAGATTTAATGTTTACGGAGACTATCACGAATCTGGTGGTGAAAAAGACTCACCTCGTTGGAGTAGAAACACGTGCAGGTGTTCTGGCTGACTTTGAAGCCTCATCTGATAGTATAGTTTGTCTACCAGGTGTAGTAGCACTATCAGGCTTCACCATAATATCATTGCTCACGGAATCCCGCACTTGAGAATTGCGATGTTTTATTGTCTGCACGACCTCTGTGATGGAATTCAAAGCTTTCTCCTTCTGGCGAGCTGATACCAATAACATGTTAAAATTTGTGGATCAGCCCCACGCAAAAATCATAGTGTTTTTATTTTTTGGCTAAACTATATCATTGTTCTTATCACACAAAAGAAAAGTGAAACATTGTTTATTTTATATAGAGATCAGAGATGCATGGAAGCAGATACCATCGTATCGAATCAGGGATTTGGAAAGTCCATTAGGCCTCAATTCTTTATCGTTTACGCCTTCTGTGTATTTGCTAACTTCAACCTGCATCCTGCAGACAAACAATGAAAAGATGGAAGTGTGAAAATGTTTGATAGAGGAGACAGTCTATAAATTTAGAAACACACAGGGAGGAATTAAGGCAGGTACCCAATGAACTTGATGGTCTTGCCATTGTCGTCCTTGATAGGAGTGACTGTGAGAAGATTCCAGAAGGGGGTTCCATCCTTTTTGTAGTTTAACAGCCTTCCGCAGTAACTTTTTCCATTCTTGACACAATCTCTGATTTTGGCAACCTCTTTCTGGTCTGTGTCCGGCCCTTGCAGAAACCGGCTGGCATTTTAACCACAAAGATTAAGCAGACCCTTTTATAGTAAGTTGGCAAAATCAATAATATGCTAAGTAGCAACTGGTGATGAAACTACAAAAAAAGATAAGAGAGGAGCCGTACCAGTTTCTTCCAATAATTTCCTTGGAAGAATAACCGGTCATGGTGAAGAATCCGCTGCTGGCATACACTATAGGACAGTGCGGCAGTGTAGCGTCAGAGACAACAAAGGTCTGCTGCAACGTAGAAAGAGCGGTTTTGAGCTCCTGAGATACTCTAGGAAAGGCCCCTGATTCAGAAGATGTTGATTCTTCGGATGACCTCCTAGACATGTTTCTGCTCCGTTCCACTTCACTAGACAACTTGAAACTAATGCCATCTTCTCCCGAGTCTGGCTTAACAGCTGATAATCCCCATTCAGCAGTTCTCTCTACTATCTTTGCGGAATCTTGAAATTCCATCCACTTACTGCTGCTACCTTTGCTGTTACCATCACGAGGCTTTGATGAAGAAGATGATCCGTTTACCTCTTTTCCACCCGAGGGGTTGTAAATCTCAAGGGATCTGCGTTCACTTAATGGCTCCAAATCGGTCAAGGGAGATGGAGGGGCTCTTGGCCTCTCCATATTGTTGTTCTTTACTCGCTTTCTTAAGGCGAAACAGAGTAGTGAATTGGCTGCAAATCAAAAGCAGACACCAGAGACAAAGTTCACGAGGAGTTAGATAGAAAGATGAGGCAGACACACCTATAGTTTCCAGGAACAATCAATAAATGCCATTAAAGTGTTTGTAAGCAATCAACAAACACGTTAAAGAAGGCCAACTTTTAAAAATAAACCCAAAAAAAATACCAGAACAACGTGTAGCTTTATCAACTGCAGTTCATGGATATATATTAGTACATGGCTTTAAAAAGGCAATGAACTATGATAAAGCTTTGAGAGTTTTGTTTAGAC